ACTGAAGGAGGAGTTAAAGACCAATCCCTGGTTCTTAGCAAATAATACTATACTGACTTGTCTGGATGGGTTAGCTTGGAAGGGATCAAAACTGTATCTACCAGAGAGTCTCAGAGTTCAGGCTCTCCAACACAGCCATGATAGCAAACAAGCGGGTCACTTTGGCTATCTAAAAACTTTACATTTGATTCAGTGGCAGTTTTGGTGGCTGGGACTGAAAAAAGACATTGAAAATTATGTAAAAAGCTGCACAACTTGTGCAACCATGAAAAAATGTCCAGGAAACCCCCCTGGATTATTACAGCAAGTCGCATACCCTTCACAACCCTGGAAAGAGATAGCCATGGACTTTATTGTAGAATTACAGTAAAGTAGGAGAAATACAGTAATATGGACTGTAATAGTCCTTTTTTCTAAACAAGCTCATTTCATTGCCTGCACTGATCTCCCCTCTGCAAAAAAGTTGGCAAGAATGTTTCTCAAGCATATATATCGACTCCATGGAGCTCCGAAATGGATTATATGAGATAGGGGGGTGCAATTCACTGCCAGGTTCTGGACAGACTTTCTGAAACTTATTGGGTCGACACAGTGTCATCAGCTTTTCATCTGTCAACTAATGGAACTGCTGAAAAGGCTAACTCAATGGTGGAGCAATATATTAGGTGCTATGTTGACTACCAACAGACCACATGGGCTGACCTCTTCCCCTTTGCTGAGGTGGCTTACAATAACACTGTACATAGTAGCACTAGACTCACTTCTTTTAAAATTGCTACTGGTAGAAAATTCATTCCCATGCCTGAGCTCCCTGAGGATCCTCCTGTTTCTCAAACTTTAGATCAATGGGTGACTTTCTGGAAAACAATGCAAAAGCAGCTTTAACAAAAGCCTCAAAAATTTATAAAGAGCTGGCAGACAAGAGAAGAGCTCCACAGAGATCATTTCATGTGTGAGAAAAGGTTTACCTCTCTACAAAATATCTAAGACTCAAACTGCCAAGTAAAAAATTGGGACCAGAATTCCTTGGACCTCTCCCTATAGTGCAGATTATAAATCCAGTTACTGTGGAATTAAAGCTTCCTTTTCTTCTAGTGAGAATTCACCCCGTGTTTCACTGCAGCCTCTTAAAACCATACAGGGTGTCCACATTGAGACCTTCTCCAAAACATACACCTAGTCCCCTTGTTGTGGAGGGAGAGACTCATGAAATAAAATGAACCCTTGACTCAAGGTTGTATAAGGGTAAATTACAGTATCTATTGCAATGGAAAGGTTACCCACTATCAGAGGCCACCTGGGTGAAAAGTGCTGATGTTAAAGCTGATAAATAAATACGTAAATTTAATGATAAACATCTGAATAAGCCTAGGGGTTGGATTTCTGATTCTGAATTCTTTTTTTATTCACAGGATTTCTCTCTTCTTTAGGGGATCCGACTGTCAAACCTTCAAATGCTCTGATTTCAGCCATATTTGCTTGCTTTTCATTTGCCACAGCAATGGGAGGGGGGAAGATGCATTCTTACAGCTTAGTCAAAACAATAAACTTTCTTGTGGGAACCAAGATCAAACAGCCTTAATGTTTGGTGGGCTGGAGCTACCGTTAGGGAGCCCGCCAAAGGTGTTAATTGGGGATTGTGATTTATGACGTAGAAAGGGGTAGGGATTTCAACTTTTATTTTGTAACCTTTGGGGGGGTAACTTTCAATCTTGGTTTCACCTTTGTTCATGCTGATATTATGTAGCCATTAAAAGTGTTCTTTGAAGAAAGCAATTGCCTCAGAGTTCTTATTTCTTCTGATCACATCTATCGGAACCATAACACCCTCCTTTCTGCCCTCAAAACACATGTGGAATGTTGTCTGCACCCAGATTCATCCCTCACTGACATCTGGGTCTCCTTTCATCCAGAGGGGGAATTTGTGCCACCTGCGACTGCCTCAGTGTCAGTCTCTGGCCAGGACGATCTCTACTTCATCTGCCAGCACATATCAGTGTAGTAGGATGCATGGGGCCCTGTGCCAAATGTAGGTGTGGTAAACATCATTGTTGAGGCCATCTTTGAAGCATTTGATCAGGATGTCTTCAGGCCATGTGGCTAGCCTACACACCAACCCTTGGAACTCTTGGGTGTACATGGTAACTGACTACTGACCTTGGGTGGTGGTCTTCATCCAAGCCTTGCTCTCTGCCAGTGGGTCATCAAACCATTGGTGAAGAGCTGTCATGAAATGGTCATAGTTCTACAGCTGGGGTCATCATCATTGTGGAGGGAGACCATTCACTCAGCTGCTGCATCCTCAAGAGTCATGGTCATGTATCTTACTCATCCAATTCAGCCCCATACTCCTGCATGTAGTTCCAGACTTGTGCCAGGAAAAAACCTAGTTGCTTGGGGTATCCTTTATACTTCACTCACAATGCTGGGACCTTCGGGTCCGGCATCTCCGAGAGGCAGCTCCTGCAGATGGAGGGGCCTGCACAGCAGTAGCTGTTAGTGGTGGCACCACTGGTGCTGGTCCAGACAGAGAAGATGGCAGCTCCATCCAAAGCTTGGCTTGGGGTGGTCCAAGGAGCCTGAGTGGTCATCTGGGCAAGAGTTTCCTGTGCTCTCTGATTCTCAATCACTTCTTGATAAGTACAAGGCATGGCTTAGCACGTGTCCTCTAGGTCTGACTGTAAGGTCCTGCCTCAGCTAGCATTCCCAAGAAAGCAGAACTACTGAAAATGGCATAGTTTCAAAAGGAACTTTTATTGAGAGATAGCAGAATAGCAGAATAGCAAGGCAAGATCTGAATAATTCCATGCAAAATGTTTCATTAAAACTCTCCTTTCAAACCCTCCCCAGTGCCCAACGGTCCAGTATTATTTTGGCCAATCCACAGGAATGAAGTTGTTATGGGAACCAGAATGATAAAACGCAGTTCTCAGGCATTTTATGTTCCTCCCTATCTCTTCCTGGAAGAGCAGAGATAAGACAGAGGACCTAGGCACATTCCTCCTTCCTTTCACACCCAGAGGGATGCATCAAGGGTGAAAAGAACAAAGTAAAGGAAATACATCCAAAAGCCCACAGAGCTTTCCCCATCCCCAAAGAGTGAAATCTCCCCCTTCCAACAGAATGGCAGTACCCAAAAAAGAAAATGGAGTGAATGGACAGTTTAAAGGTCTGATATCTCTGTTCCCCTCATGCCACTCCCATCTGTGGGAACCTCTGCTTCCTTGAGTAAATGTCACCTCTGAGGGTTGGTCCTCTGGTTCTTCTTTGCACCCCATGCCCAATGACCATCTGGGCTTGACAGGTTCCTGATTGATGTCCAGCTCCTCCAGCCATTCCTTTTGTCTCTAGCACAGGATGGCCTAGAAGGGGACACGCCCAAAGCCCTGGTCTCCTCCATTCATTTTCATGGTTGGACATTTAGATACTCAGTCCCCATGGTAGACTGCAGTCTCTGGGTTGACCATTAAAGTAGACCTTGCCTAATGTCAGGGCTGCCTCTGATCAATTCCTACAAAAGAAAATCCTTGACTCCATATATTCAGAGAAAATGTACTTTTACTAAGAATGAACTGAATGCAGCAAAAGTCAGGCAAGGTCTGAAGCAAACATGCATGAAAAAGGCAAATTGAAAATTACCCAAGAGCCCACCCCCAGCAGTCAGGCAGACAGGGTCCAATCATCGGCCAGGATGATGTTTTGGGAACATTTCTGGTCCAAGTGCTCTTTGCTGCCCTCGTGCATACTATTCCCAGAATGGTTGGCCTTGAAGATGTTAAATAACCCAAGCTGGCCTCTCTGAGTCCAAGCCTCCCCATCAGTTTTCAACAATTCCACTCTCACGCCACCTGCACACTTCCCCTCCCGAATGCCCATTGCTTCTTCCCTCCCAGTTGGGAGGGTGACATAAACTAGTATTCTTCCATCTTAGTGATCATCTCCTAATTTGATTATTGTTGATTATTATGTGTAGTACTGTTGTAATATTACAGTTAAAATTTGATTGCAAATCAGGAACTTTCATTCTAATGTCATTTCTGTTTTGGATATCTTAATTACCCTTACTATTTAATTTTCGACACTTGGTTTCATTTCTTTTTCCCTTGTGCATTTATTTAGTAGAAAGATAATACTAGTTTATCTTTTTCTATGACTTTTAGGATTATATGTCTGTAGTACTGTCAGTATAATGCATTGCATATTTGCACAAAATATATATGATACATACCAATTATGACAATACCTTAATATGAAAAAGCATGTGATCCAATAACTGCTTAGTTGCTGTCAAGTTCTTGGCTACAGCTAGACTACTACTACCTTTCTATCTCTTTTATATCATTGCTGTCTTTAAAAAGGACAAGAACAAAACAATTATTCCAACAGGGATTTTTTCCCCTAAAATATACTGTCTCCAGTTTTGCACTTTGCTTGTTATAGAAGACAGTCTTATTTTAAGTTGTTTTTTTTAACACAATGGAATGCCATAAATCATTGTTCTATGAAAACTGATGATTAGATCCCTACATTTACCCAAGAAAAATATCAGAAGCAAGTTTAGCTCACTTTTGTTATGTGGCTTTCTTCTAAGAATCCATTTCTCCTCCTTCTACCCTCATTTAAGACTGACAAAGGAAAATGTGTAGGAAAACAATATATTCAAATAATCTAGTCTCAGTTTTAATACAATTTATCAGAAATGAGAATTCCAGATGACAATACTTTCTCTGCAGAGAATCCTACGGTTGTCTAAGATTACAGTGATTGTTTATGCTTCAAGATCACTTTTGCTGCATTTGTCATTAAACCATAAATTGAATTAATAAAGTTCACTACAATGGGCAGAGGGAGGCTATAAAAATTTATCAGGGTTAATATCATTTGTTGTTTCGTCTCACATTTTGCTTAATTTTAGCAGCTATTGCTTCAGATTGCATAGATGCTGGTGGAGAAGAAGTTTTCTATGATATATATTGCAACATTTTTATTGCATTTCACAGGTTCTCCAGTAAACGTTACTTGCAATATTTTTATCAACAGTTTTGGATCAGTCACAGAAATCACAATGGTAAGTGTGGCAATGCCACTGGCACTGAAACAACTATCCTTAATATATGTCATAAACACAAACTGTCATTTTTTTCTATTTATTATTCAACTTGCAGGTCCTCCTGTAAATGTTACCTGCAACATATTTATCAACAGCTTTGGTTCAATAGCTGAAACTACAATGGTGAGTGGGGTTGCCTATTGAAGCTATCTTGTGAAGGAGAGGCATGTGCCATGGATCTGAGGTTTCCTAAATCTGGAAGCCTCAGATATGAGGGTGACCAAAGATGTCTATTGTCTTTCAGAAAAATGTAAAAAATCATTTTTAAGGGGAACCCCTCCCAGCATTCAAATTAAATATATTAAAGAATGGTGGGCATACACAAATACAGACAATCCTTGACTTATGACCACAACAGAGCCCAAAATTTATGTTGCTAGATTTGATAAGTGAGTTTTGCCCCATTTTACAACCTGTCTTGCCACAGTTGTTAAATGAATTGCTGTAGTTGTTAAGTTAGTAACGTTGTTAAATTAATCTGGCTTCCCTATTGACTTTGCTTATCAGAAGATCACAAAAGGTAATCACATCATCCCTGGACACTGAATCTATCATAAATATGAACCAGTTGCCAAGCATCCGAATTTTGATTATGAAACGAAGGGGATGCTGCAACAGTTACAAGTATGAAAAATGGTCATAAGTCACTTTTTTCAGTGCTGTTGTAACTTGGAACAGTCACTATGTCAACTATTGTAAGTTGAGGACTACCTGTATCAGTTTTACAAGGCAGAATAAAAATATAAAAAACAATGTTTCATGAAGATCAAAACCAGCCAACTGAAGCAGTTATCTTCCTTATATTCCTTACTGGCAAGGCAGGCCTTATGGTTTTAACTCTGCATGAAAAATTGGGCAAATTATAGTATAGCTGTACTTACATCAACAATGGTCAACTGTTTTGGCAACTGCATCACAAATCAATCTAGAGTATAAAAGAACACTATTAGTAATATATTACTATTACTACTCCATCTACTAAGGTGTATTTTTTCCTCTTAATTTAGTGGGATAACGGAGAAACAGCTGAGTGTGCAGGGTAAACATGAGGCACTTGGGCTCTCTTGCTTTTATTCACATATAATTGGTGCCAAATGCAACAACACTTATTCAGGTTAGACCATCTGCTTCTGGAATATTATGGACATAAACTTTATTTTTCAGAGGAAAATGCCATGAAAGTCATTCAAAATTTTAAACTCCAGAGCAAGGGAACTATATACTATAACAGCAATGGTAGTGATAAAGCTAAGAAGTTGCTCCCAGACCACATTCAGTGGCTGATTAGCACAATGATATGAAAGCTAGCAGAATTTTCTTTTATCTTTCTCACACATATTAGAGCCACATAGGAGATATTGCAGAAATAACAGAATCCTTCAGATCCACCTATAGCTCACTTCACCATGGATTTTTATTAATTTTTTGCTCTACTTGAGAAAGGAAAAAATAAAATTAGGACATGAAATGGAAGCCCAAAACCAGCAACATAAAACTACCGTATATTCCGGCGTATAGGGCAACCCGGCATATAAGATGACCCCCAAGTTTGATGCCGGGTCGCAAGATGATCGATGCCGAGTCGCAAGACGATCGACGCCAAGTCACATGCCTAGAAAGTCATCTTATCACTGGAAACTACCGGTATTTCCAGCATATAAGACGATCGACGCCGAGTCGCATGCCTAGAAAGTCATCTTATATGCTGGAAACTACCTTATTTCCGGCGTATAAGACGACTCGGCGTATAAGACGACCCCCGAGTTTGGAGGCTGTTTCAACGCTCTCAAAAGTCGTCTTATACGCCGGAATATACGGTAAATCCTTTAACAGTGTGCTGCTACATACCCTGTTAAGTCTGTACTTGGGAGAAAGGATTATGAGACAGTTTCTACTATGGGAACAGAGCTTCTGTGTCTTCCCAGAATGGAGACATATCTGAAATATTCTCAGCCATCCTTCAGTTCACATTTGTTAAAAAGAAATATAAGCATTGTTCCATTAGTATTAGTAAGCCCACCCCCTTGTTAGCTTTCTTCATTTTAAAGGGTCATACTATTTAAATTCCTGAATCAACCATGCCTTGGAATTTACAAATTGACCACATGATTGTTATTTATCACTAAGCATGTTTCTGTGAGCCAGTTCAGTTAAATATAATACCAGATTATGTTTCTCAATTAGTATGTGAGATTAGCTTCTGCTTCTTAAAGGCTGGTTTGCAACAGTATTTCAGCGGGTGGGGGTGGTTTCCCCCATACTTTCAGTATTTCTTCCACTCTGGGACAACAGCAGAAAACTTTACATTTTACATCTCTCCTGATGACATCAGCAGTCTGCACCTACACTGCAGCAGCTTTATACTGTGCTTAGCAAGCAGGTACCTAAGCAGAAAACCAATTGGAATAAAGATGCTTTTTGCCTGAATTCTCCAATTCTTCTCAAAAAAAGTTACACTGATACCCTTAACTAGATTTTTAAGTAATTTTTAAGTCCTAGTCCTGATTATAGGTCAGCATGATTGATAATTAAATTTTAAAAATTGAAGTAAGGTGAATTCTACTTGTCACTGGCTTTGCAAGATGGCATTCAATGATGATATTTGCATGAACTAATGGTGATTACATTAATCAGATTCATCCATTACATTTTATTGTCTCTATAATATGCATCTATTGTGGGTTTATTACTGCCTTTCAACTAACAAAAAATAGCTAAATATTGGAGTAGCTTCAAACCAAGACTTTCAGCTGCCTTATTTGCTAATAGGGTCAAAGGAGATCTATTTACTTCAGTGCTGTTCAGATGTCTGTGGCTGAATTTCTTAAAGCTGACATCTCACCAATACATTTCTTTGAAACTGAATGAAGAAATGCTGTTGAAGGCAGACGTCAGCTACTACTCATCTGCTTTGCTTTATAAAGCCAGTCTAATGATAACATAAGCAGCATTGTGATATAATAAAAAACTTGAGTTTTCTAGGACTTCCAGAAGTTATTCTGCTGAATATCCTATTTGCCTAGGTGTTTGAATATGGCTGGAAGAAGTGAAATTGGAAAATGAATGAAAATTGAAAATTATTCATAGTGTGTTGATATAAACCCACTTCTTAATCTGGAATTATTGTTTCTGGCAAGAAAAAAAACCCTCCTCCTGAAACTTCCTTTTTGATTCTCATTTTTATTTGAGATGGGTTTAACAAATATAAATGTATGTAGGTTTAAAAGTTTAAATTGCATATTGTCTGCAATTTTAAATTTAAACAATCTTTTTGTTTCTAAACTTTTTCATTGAAATTTTTAAAATTGGGCTTGATATATATTCATGTACATTCATTTTAAATCAATGCACTAGGCTTTTATGTGGCATTTTCATCCCTGCCTTTTTTTCCTCCAAATGCTTGGCAAGATGACAAGTATTTCCACATTTTTGTGTCATTATTTTTATGTTAAGTATTTTTCTGAGTCAGAAAGCTAACATTTGTTAGACCAACAGTTCTTAAAATAACATGCTGCTACATTTTAACACAGTGCCAGGACTGAGCATTTCCAAAGATATGAAAATCATAGATCTATATTTTATACAGCTTTAAGAAGTTATATCTGTACCAGTTTTAATCATTTTATATACATATGTATGAATGTTGTCAAGGAATTCAGAAGTTCAACTTACTTTATTTCTTTTATTGGTATATTAATTTGCCATCCACATATTCTAACAGAATTAAATAAAGTTGCCATTTAAGATTTTGTAAACTTCCTTGCTTTGGACACATATACATTTAAATAGTGTATACATAGAAATATGCACTTTAATAAGATTTCCTATAAGAAAATATACTACCTTGATATATAATATCTTACTATCTAGATAAATAGAGTATATTCTTGGTCTTAGATACATATAGTAAGAAAGTACCTTACATGATAAAATATAATCTTCAAGCCACTTTAATTGTACCCTTTTAATTCTTTCCCACACTCATAATCTACTATGTCAGAAAGAAGAGACAGGATCCACTTACCCACTCTCCTTTCTAATATATGTCTGAAACCATGCCCCATGTTCTAGTGTTGAAAAATCACAGATGGGTGTTGGCTATACTGGTGAAAATTCCCCATTTGCTCTAGAATAGTAATAGTATATGAAAACCTCTATAAGAAGTGCTGGTTCCTTTACAAACTAGATCCAGGTTTGATGTATGGAGGTTGACAGGACTTGACGAGGGTTAAACATCCACAATAGGGAAATATCTATACTTGCAAAGACTTCCTATTTTGCCTTTGAATGCTGATTGCATACAGTTGTGATTGCATGAAGAGCAATATACACATGACTTACACTATATTTTTTTAGTTTCAACCTGGTCATAAAGAACTTAATAACAGTAGGAACAGGGAAAGATTCTTTTTCTTTCCCCAAATAATAGGTTACATGTGAGAAGGATTAGTTGTTATAAGGATTATGCCAAAGTCCACTTTTGGTTAATTTGAGACATTTGCTGATCTATGAAAAAGATACTCCCTAGCAAAGGGTACAAAAGAAATCCTTTTTCAGCTGAACTTTGTCAGGTTGTGTCAAAGCATTGAGTTCATCTTCCAGTCTGTTACCAAAGACAGGAGAAAAAAGTTTAATGTGCAGAATGGCATTTGATATCCACAGACATTTTTGTTGATGATTTTTTAAAAGGCTTATAAAATTTTTGAATGCTTTAACATTGCAATCCCACTTATCTGAGAGTAAGATCCCAGGAAATTAGATATGAGAATCCTTTGTTGGACTGTATACTTTTAGTTTTGATGATTTTCCAATTTTTTTTCAGTGATTAAAAATGATTCTCTTTTAAAGCTACTTCCAGAACCTCAATTTTTCCACACATGTGGGGGGGGAGGGGTGTGCAACTTAGATCCTTCACATGCACAGTTTACAGTAAGGTTCACACTCCTATGAGAATCTAATGCCTGATGATCTGAGTGGAGCTGGGGCAGTGATGCTAGCATTGGGGAGCAGCTGCAAATACAGATGAAGCTTTGCTTGCTTGCCCACTGTTCACTTCCAGCTATGCAGTGCAGTTCCTAACAGGCCACAGATTGCTACTGGTCCATGGCCCAGGGGTTGGGGACCCTTGCATTAGGGTGAACATATATGGAAAACAAAACAAATCAAGCACTATCTTAACTGTAGCTTGATTTTTAAAAAAATGAAATTAGATATCTATTTAAAAAGATGAAGACTGGTGGGTCTTCATGCCATTGCTCCCCATGTATCTTTGATTAACAAAATTAACCTCACAGTAGCCTTGAAGTAGATATCATGTCGAGACTCACTCATATAATATTTCTCATTCACAAAGATACAGCTGAAAGGTGAGGGAAAAAATCAGTAACAGCCTCCACTCACCTTCAAAGACATTCCACACCAAACAATTCAGCCAGTAGTTACACAATGATGCCATAACCATGTACCATTAAGGACAAAACTCCTAAAGTTACTCAGTCGATACTTTGCATAATGTTTCTGCATAGCACAAAATGTCAATGTTATTAAATGTTAGTTCTTCCTAGGACCCACTGTGTTTATTTTCCAATAATTCAAAATGCATTCTCTGGAGTGAGGTTAATAAATATTATTCACAGATTCCTAGCTAATATTTATTTATAAATTACTCTGCTGGATATACTGTATGAATGCTTAGCTAGAGACTTACAAATTAATCAGTGAAGAGGCAATCAAAATTAGTCTTTAAAATTCTGGCAGGTTTTTATAATGTTTAGACAGTTTTTATTCTCACTATTATGGAATACTAATTACATTTCAAAATGTCTCCACTATGCTGAATAGATAAATTTTATTAATTTTATCAATAAAACATATGGTAAGTGAAAACTTGCACTCTGTGATACAGAGTTTAATTTTGTTTTGGTCCTAAAAAGAATGAGGTAAAATTGCCACTCCATAGCTTTATGATTTCAATAAAACAGCAACAACAGCAGCAGCAGCAGCAGCAGCAACAACAACAGTAATAATAATAATAATAATAATAAAAATCAATGGTTGTACCAATAGTAATAGGAGCAATATCCAAAGGGCTGCCTAGATACATGGAGATTTTGAACTTATCAGATCTGAATATTCTGACTTTGCAAAAACCCATGTTATTCGGAACTGCCTATATACTCAGACGTTACCTTAATAGTTCTTAGGTCCTTGGTTAGGACTTGAACTGTTAAGTTTTTACCAGTCCCAGACTGTGAATTGAATTGAAGATTAAATCTTAAATAATAATAATAATATAATAATAATAATAATACACCATTGGCATTGATAAATACGCCATCAGTCAATTGCAAAAGATGGTTCTACTGGGAACAGCTTCCATCCTGCGGTGATACCTGTAACACCATCAAACATCCAGATCTGCCTATTCCAGGTCTTGGTAAGGACTCGATAGATAGACAAAACTGCTAAACCCAGTCTGAACATCTGGCTGACTGTGCGATGATCAATAATAATAATAATAATGTGGAACGTTTGAATCCAAATAGACAGACATTTGGCTCACAGGTAATGCATGAATTGAAGAGAAATAGTTAGAAAAAATTACAAAATACCACAATCTGCAAATTGAGGTTGAGTTATTATGGAAGAAGAAATCAATGGTTGTACCACTAGTATTGGAGCAATGCCCAGAGGGCTGCCTAGATACATGGGAATTTTGAACTTATTAGACCTAAATATTCTGACTTTGCAAAAAAACCACTTTACTCAGAACTGCCTATACACATACCTAAACAGCTCTTAGATCCTTGGTTAGGACTTGAAGTGTTAAGTTTTTACCAATCCCGAACTGAATTGAATTGAATATTAATAATAATAGATTGTCCTTGACTAATATAAAACATAATATTGTATCAAATAATTCAATAATTGATCAAAGTCTAAAAGTGCAATCATCTGGACAAGAGATTAAATAATTGGTATATCTGACATTTCTATAGGACTACAGAGTGAACATTTTTTTGAGGCAGCAGTGGAACGACTCCCGTCTTGCTTATAGTGAATACCCTGATGACTCTTTGGATTTGGATCCATCAATGTTGGACTCTATTTGGAAACCTGATTTATTCTTTGCCAATGAGAAAGGCGCAAACTTCCATGATGTTACCACAGACAACAAGCTTCTAAGGATTTCCAAAAATGGGAAAGTATTATATAGTATCAGGTAAACCACTATATGTACATGTTGGGCATATTCTTGGTTTTTGAAAAATATGTCGTAGATCACAGAATGGAATTTAAATATCCAGCTGAGATTTGAATCCAATAGGGCAGAAAAAATGTCTCCACTGTGCTTGGCTTTCTCTTCTCAGATGAGAAAAAGCATCATCATTAAAACCATCAAGGATTGATAAAAGAAGCTTGCTGCTCCAAAACCACATTCCCATCTTCATGAGTTGGGAGTGCACAAGCTTATACTTGTGTAAATTGCATTTCAAAGCAAAAAGAAAATGTAGTCCACTATATACCTGATAGCATGCCCCATGTACTAGTATTGGACTACTAATAATTTAATTTTTGCAATGGAGCCTTCCAGATAGAAAGTACACTTAAATTATGAAGCTAAATTAATACTTTCTATACAGGTAGTTCTTGATTTGCAACAGTTCATTTAGTGACTGTTTAAAGTTACACCAGCACTCAAATAACTGACTTATGACCATTTTTCCCAGTTACAACCTTTGCAGCATCCCCATGATCTTGTGATCAAAATTCAAATGCTTGGCAACTGATTCATATTTATGATGGTTGCAGTGTCCCGGAGTCATGTGATCAACTTTTGTAACCTTCTGACAAGCAAAGTCAATGGGGAAGTCAGAATCACTTAACACTAGTAGCTATGTTACTAACTTACGAATTGCAGTGATTCACTTAACAACTAAGGCAAGGTCATAAAATGGGGCAAAACACACTTAACAAATATTTCACTTAACAACAGAAATTTTGGGTTCAATTACGGTTGTAAGTTGAGGACTATCTGTATTCTATATTTTTCTCTTTCTTGCTGCAATATTTTTTATCACCTGGAAGCTACATATTTATTTAGTGAAGAATTTGAAACTATAATCCAAAATCTCACAAATTCTTCTTAGATGCAATAAAGATTTAAGAATTTCATCCATACAGGAACCCCCCCCTCCCATTTCAGTGTATTTTCTACTTTATTGCTACAGTTTCTGATTTTATTTATCCAACTGTGAAGAAAAGCTAATTAATTTTAACCCAAGTCCTAAGATTCTTTTTTAGGTGCACACCAGGGACAAGCAAATGCTGGTTTTGTGAACTATTGTTGCGTTGTTGTAATTGTTACATTATTGTAGTTATTGCATTCCAATGGTCATTATAGGTTGGATATTGATGTAATACCATTACTGGTTTACTGAGGACAGAGCCAATATTTTAAGTGGTGTTTTGAGTTTTCAGAGAGTTAGGGTTTTTTTTTCTCATAAACTTTTTTAGGTATAGGAAGCATACTAGGGACTTTTACTCCCTCAAAAAAAAAAAAATCAGCAGAAATCACATCATCATTGCTTTATGGATTAGGCTATATTCTAGTGGCCTAATCCATAAAGCAATGATGATGTGATTTCTGCTGATTTTTTTTTTTTTGAGGGAATAAAAGTCCCTAATATGCTTCCTATACCTAAAAACGTTTATGAGAAAAAAAAACCTAACTCTCTGAAAACTCAAAACACCACTTAAAATATTGGCTCTGTCTCCGGGGATTTGGAAACCATACAAAGCAATTTGAGTTGTTTGCAGAACAGATAGAAACAAATAATAAGGATAAATAAAAAGAGAATCAGGATGAATTCTAAGGTTAAACCTACAATTGTGGCTCTACATATTGGATAGAATTTGGTATTATTTAATTGTGACCTCTGCTCAGATTATGGAAGGCCTGGTCGAGGCTTAGAAAATACAAAAAGCCATGGTCTATTGACTCCAAGAGTCAAGATAAAAGAACTCCCCCCCCCCTGAACCTATTCTCTCAATAATTTTAGAACTGCTTCTAACAGACATAACTACTCAACATAACCTATTAATTCCAACTCGCAGTCCAATCACTGAGATGTCTTCACTCTGTCTGAGACATCTTTTGAGTTATCAGTCTAGCCCAGAGTTTCTATGCTGGCTGGGGAATTCTGAGAATTGAAATCACACATCTTAAAGTTGCCAAGGTTGAGAAATGCTGATCTAGACTGCAATCCAAGGATTAAGCAGTCTCTCTTCTATTTAGCTTTTAAGGCCCAAGTTATCTAGTCAGAGTTAGAGGATCTTTCTGCAGGGATTTATGCTATGACTATGACTATCAGAAACACAATCTCATGTTGTTATTTTTTGTTTATATATTTATATACAGATATAATTATTAATACAGATATAATTATTAATCTTATCTGTTGGGTGGAGCACCCGGTCTATCAAATATAAATCAGTCTGTTCTACTTACATTTCACTCCAATCTAGGAGCATGTTTTGCAGGCAGACGTCACATACTGTGAATACTGTAAATTCAAAATTTTGTGGCTGACAAAGAGTTAGTGGGAGACTAGTATAGCTATTTCAAGCTCTTTTCAAGCTATACTAGTCTCCCGCTAACTCTTTGTCAGCCACAAAATTTTGAAGATATAATTATTATATGGTTACATAACTATACTTGCATTTTATTAAATTCAATATGCTTTATCTAGCAATAAACCCAAATCTAAAAATGCAGTTAACTGACTTTCTGTATGAGAAAAGTTAATGAGGCACAAACATGTTTATTCAGTGTGAATTCTTTCAAGATATATCAACAGCCACAGAGTGAATGACCACCTGAATTCTCAGTAGAAGTAAACCTGCTGTTACCTAACAGTGCTATTTTCACCTGTTTAGAATAGAATAGAGCTGGAAGGGACCTTGGAGGTCTTCTTGTCCAGCCCCCTGCTCAAGCAGGAGAACCTATATCAGGGATATATAAAATATACCAGGGTATATATAAAATAAAGGTTAAAAAGGTAAAAAAAGATATATGCAGAGTTATCTTCATTTTAGATGTCAAAAGGATATATCTCTCTCCCCCTCCCTCCCTCTCTTTCCTCTCTCTCTTTTTCTTTCCTCTCTCTTTCTCTTTCCTCTCTCTCTCTTTCCTTTCCCTCTCTCTTTCCTCTCTCTCTCTCTCTTTCTCTTTCCTCTCCCTCTTTCTCTCTTTCCTCTCTCTCTCTCTCTTTCTTCTTTTTCTCTTTCCTCTCTTTCTCTCTCTTTCTCTTTCCTCTCTCTCTTTCCTCTCCCTCTCTGTCTTTCTTTCTCTTTCCTCTCTCTCTTTCTCTCTCTTTCCTCTCCCTCTCTCTTTCTCTCTTTCTCTCTCTTTCCTCTCCCTCTCCCTCTCTCTGAACTCTCTCTCACTCTTTCTCTCTTTCTTTTCCATCTCTCTCTCTCTTTCCTCTCCCCTCTCTCTTTCCTCTCTCTCCCTTTCCCTCTTTCCTCTCTCTCTTTCCTCTCTCTCTCACTCTTTCTCTTTCCTCTCCCCTCAATATCTCTGGTTGCCCTGGACTTCTGGTTCCGGATCACGGCATTTGCAGCCGTGCCAAGAGATCACTCTCTTCACCGGCTGATTTCTCTCTGCCAGTAGACCCTTATTAGGGTCGAAAAGCCCCCTGGAGGGTTGGCTACCACTGAGGAGGTCCTCGTCAACTGTGGAAGGGCGGCAGCTCCTTCCATGGTCCGAGATTGCTCCTTAGGGCCGACAGAAGAAAGAGTGGTCAGTAAAATGGCTGTTCATTTTGCTGCTGTAACCAGAAGTCAAAAGAATATCTAAGCGCAAAAAACCATCGTGGTTGATCTGGGTGAGATTTTTTTTACTCTCTTAGCCCTTTTTTCCTTTTTCTTGCCTGTAAAAAGCATTTTTGGATTTATTTCCCTGTTTTAAGAGAGCGGCATTGGTTAGTGTGGGAACAGAAGCTTTGGATGAAAACTGACTTTAATTGACTATTTTTCTACTTTTACTTACTTTGGGGTCTTGAAAAATTTTTTATTAATGAACATTACTACTGGATTCAGCATATATGTGAAAAATATTATCCTTTTTCTTCTCTTTTTCTGACTTTGACAATGTTATTTTTGGTGTCTGAAAGAGACTTTTATAGTTTACTGAGGACACCTTGTGAAGAAATTTAAAATTGCAATTGTCTTTTGTTTTTACTGTCTGATGATGAGATTGGCTTTGACCTTCAGAGCATCATAAAGAAAAAGACAAAGAATTTAATAGCTGTTATTTGTGGGGGTGGAAACTGACTAAATGTTTTGGAATACAGCCTCCACCAAAAGATAACAGGCTTTGGTTCTAGTCACTATTGAAATGGAGAAATCTTATTTACAACTCGGTTGTAAACTCATACTGGAAAATATCTATGAAGCTACTGAGGAAATATGTTTCCAAATAAGAGAGAGTACTACAGAAATAATAAACAGAAATTCTACTGAGAACCTACAAACCAACCTTCAAGACCAAAAAGCAACAGAAGAAGAATTAATTTACACTAAAGAAGATTCTATTTCATTTTACATACAACCTATTGAGACATCGAATGACCAAAGAAGGATTGGAACTAAACCAGCTACAACTTCAAAACTAACAGAAATGGATTCAAAACTACAATTGGTTGAGAATTATGACAATTTTGATAATCAATTATTAACTAAAAATTTGGACATGACCGAGTGTCTTATTCAGCAGACAGGAGCCAGGCATCTAAAACAGAGGATGGGAGGTTTTTTACTGACCCAAATGACATTGCAAACAATAAAGGGAGATTTATCTGCTGAAAAAGAGGCCTTGTTATGGAAACCTGCTTGGCACAAAAAGAAAGCTAGAATAAGACTTAAAAGAGAAACTTAAAATCATATGTAATGGATTAAAAAGGCTTTGAGAAATATGGATTGACTTAAGGTTTAAGATTTAGAGTTGAAAATTAGTGATTATTAGAACATATATGTTAAATAAAGTAAGAATGGTTTTTTTGGAATAATATCTTTATTTGTATGAAAATTATGGAATAATTTTGGAATAAGAATAAGAAAATGGAAGAAGTTTTTTAGAGATTCAGATTGATTTAACAATTAACTGAGTATGTTAAGTTAGTAAGATGATGCTTTGTCTAATAATATGTGTGTTTCTTT